GTTAAGGATCTGATTCTTCAGGTGTGACAGGTTCCTGGGTCTGGATGAGCCCTTGTTAATGTTAGGAAAAGGAGGAATAGGAAATATCGTAATCTTGTAACCAGTCTGTCTCAATCTAGACTTGTCCGTGGTGAGGGGCTGTGGGCTGGGGTGGGCATCTTAGTATTCCCTCAACTTGCTGCCTGTAAATTGGGGCTTTTCCCGATTGACAAGAGATTTTTTTCCCTTCACCTTTGGGTCAGGGAACGGGTGCTGACTGTCATCTGCACTCGCCTAAACAACAGTTCAGCGTATCTGGAGCGCCTCCAATGCTGAAGCTGCTGTACTGAGCTGTGGTCGCAAGGTGTTTGGCGCCTGTTGTGGGCTGTGTGGCCCGTTGCTCGGAGCCATTCGATCTTTATACAGCCGTTGCAAGAGCTTGGTATGCTTAGCCGACAATAAGTCGAACTCATTCTTGGTGGGTGTTACTCTACCACGACTGCCCTTTGTCACTGATTCTGTTCATGATCTCATGGACAGAATTTCTAGGTGTAGCCAAGTGAAGGAAGGCTTCTGCTTGGGCGGTCTCAGAATCTCATCTCTGCTTTTCTTAGATGATGTGGTTCTGTTGGCTTTAGCAGGTGGTGGCCTCCACCTCGCACTGCAGCAGTTCACAGCCAAGTGTGAAGCTGCAGCTCCACACTCGGCTTAGTTATCTTACTCCCAAAAGAGTCCCATAATGGGACTCTTTTGGGAGTAAGATGATGCACATATGGAAACACACAGTCCCTGGGAAAAAAATCCTGTGGTGGTAAAAATGATCAAATCTACACATTTTTCAGGTGCTTGGTATAACTGGAGTGTTTTCTTTTCACAGGGGCAATCTTGACAAGGCGATCGAGATGTTCAACAAAGCAATTAACCTAGCGAAGTCAGAGATGGAGATGGCCCACTTATACTCGTTATGTGATGCCGCCTACGCCCAGACAGAAGTGGCGAGGAAGTACGGGCTGAAACCTCCGACTCTGTAACCGTTTTGCCAACGGATCGCCAATCTCAGTCTTCAATGCTGAATCTAACTGTGTTAAAAGTGCAACTGTCTGACTTTGATTTGTTAAAAAATAAATACTGGATGATATGGGGGGAATTTGAAAAAAAGGAAGAACCCTGAATATATACTGTGTTTACGTCACATTGAAGGGGATTGTTTTCATGGAAACCAGATTTGTACTCGAGTCAAACTGAGGCTATGATCCTGGTCTCTGGTAGACTCGGTGGTTTATCAGGATGTGGGGTGGGGGGTGTGGAATTTAACCAACGCCGCCCTTTATGCTGACACTTAATTCCACAGTGGCGTCATTGTCAAACCTTTGATTTTTATGGCTCAGAATGAAAATAAAGGTCATTTATGGAGGGAAAGTACATGAGTGAGATGTATACGTGTCAGAAGATGTAGAGAGAATTGAAATGTTCAGTCTGTTGAACCTGCAGGGGTTCGGAGACCCTTTTAAATCTACAGACAATACTGTGAGCGCTTTATAGTTCCAATGGACAGTTCACTTGTTAATTTATGCTGATCTAAAGTGTTTTTGTCCACCTACTCCCATATTGTAACATACAGTATCAGTTCTGAATGCAAGATTAAAATTATAGTCAAATGTACAATGTCTGTATTGAAATGCTGGAGTTGATCCCAGGATACAAGCCTACAGAGTTTAGGCACAGTTTTTTTTCTTTCGTTTTAAATGGTGGGATTGCCTGTTTCCTTTTTTATATACTTCGTGCAGCATGTTCACTTTATAAATTAATGTAAATGCAATGCTCGTGCTGTCTTGAACACTAGGAAAACCCTTTTTCAGGCTTTTGGTTTTTTTGCAAAACACTGATTAGACAAACTTAGCCAACTTTGTTTTTAATTTTTCTTTTTTTTAAATGATCTATTTGGCGTTGCCTCTTGTGTCAGAAGGGTATTTAGTGGTTTTTCCCCCAGCTCATGTTAATTGGGAAACCTGATTCTTTTTATAGTTTGTGATTATTTTTTTTCTTCATGCTACATTTCCTTTTACTTTTGACCGAATACTTAACATAGTGGTTTAATTCTAATTTGCTTTTTTCATCTCTCCTTTTCAAACAACCCGAGCCTTATTGTCTCCAGCCTATGCAGCTCTGAGAATTTCGGTATGGTGTGTGGTTTGGTTCTCAAGTAGCATCTGTGCACCACTGATGATTGTACGTCTGGGGCATTTTTAAAAAAAATGCAACGAAAAGCTCCCGTTCTCTGTGACATTCATTAGTCTCACCCCCAGTAAACTATCACTGCGTGTGTGGTGATGCCAAGGAACCAAATCATGCATTTTGAGCTGCAGCTGGTGAGACTGACTCCAACTAAAACCATATTTACTTAACCTTCAGAACATGGATGTGAACTAGATTTTGGCTGTTTGATATCAGATACACTGACATTCTGCATCTACCATACGTGTGGTGACCAAAGTGAAAGAATGAGTCCTAATAAAGTTACAATTCTTGGAATGAGTTTTACATCTGATCATTTCTGTTCACCCGGATTGTGCAGCACATTGTTTTTACATCCTTGTAGTTAGAAACTAAATTTTGTTCTGATTATCTGAAACTTTGATAGAATTTTACAGTTTTTCTGATTTTCTTGCTAACTAGCACACGTAAGTATTAAAGATGTGTCTATTGAACAGACTATAGAGTCATTTCATAGTGTTTCCTAAAAGGCCTCACACCTGACCTTCCCAGATTTGTTTAATAGGAATTGTGCAAACTTTCCTGTGAGGAATTTTGTGAAGACAGGGCTGTTTTTAGATCTTTTTCTGAGGGGCCATTTTAAAATTGCTAATCTATTAAAACACTTAAGCGTGACCTTTCAGATGCTTTAGGGTAAAGCTCTGGCACCTTAAACATGAATATGGACTCTTGGGACTGCTGCTCCATGAAGAAGTTGAAACCCCTAAAATATTTGGATGTCTGACCACTGACAGCAGCTCCTGGATATCAGGACATCCTACTGATATTACATTGGATTGATAAAAAAAACATCACTGTGATATTTCCCCAGACAAGATATACAATTTAACATTTCATTAAGAGCAACTTTCTGTTATTATTCGAGTCAAAATGTGTGATGGTGTTTGCTCTCATTTTTTCCATTATAAATATTTGAAATATGTATTTAAGTATACCAATACTTATGTGCAGAAATATTTTAGGAACAGCTGTTTGGGAGGTAAGGATATAACAGTGAAGTAGTTTAATACTGACTTATGTTACAAACTCTGTATTAAAGTTTCTATATTTCTGTGTTGTGTAAAGCTGTGACAGCAACTTTTACAGTTTGCCAAGGAGCTGGCTCCAGGTGTTGCAGATGCTGGCAAGAAAAAAAATATATCTGTGAAT